GCGCTCGACGGCCCCCGCGCATCAAAGTTGAGTGCGCTGAAGCTCCTCTACGGTCCATCCAGCTTCGCCAAGTCCCTCAGTGATTTTTGGTACTTCTGGCCAGTCTTGATCTGGCTCACCACCTTCTCGGCCGCGGCGCCAGCCTCGGTGATCTCTTCGTGGGTGAGCACGGCCTTATTCACGTAGATGATCTCGATGCGCTGCAAATTGGCATCGTCGGACTTCGCCGGCTTCAACACTGCATCGAAGTCGAACTCCACCTTGGTACCTGCGCAGTGCCGGCTCGTCTTGCTCAGATCGATCGTGGACTCCAGCTCCCTCTTCGCCCTGTCCCAGGTAGAACGCGCCTTGCGGAAGTTCTGAATCAGTTTTTTGGTGGCTTCATCGACGACGCGGCCTGGCTCTGGGACGGCCAGAGTCGCATCGCTGCTCCCAGGAGTGGTCGCAGTAGAGGCCAGATCTTCGCAGAACGCCTTGAACTTGGCCTGCGCCTCGGGGGTCTCGCCATCCCTCGCTTCCTCGAGGCGCTCCTCGTCAGTGCGCCTCTTCGTCTTCACGTGGCTCTCGGTGTCGACGCGGGCCAGCTGGTTGCACGGGTGCTTGATGGTCTTGCTGTTGGCCATCTTAGGGTTCGGCTTCAGCACTGCGGCCCCAAGTTCGATCATCTCCGCCAGCTTCTCCATTCCCTCCTCGCCCTCAGCCTTGCGATATGACACCCAGAGGTCCTGCTCTGTATCGCCCTCGATCTCGGCGCGCGAGCGTTTCGATGCAATCTTGGAGCTGGCTGCCTTGTCGAAGACCGTCTGCGCGAGCGCCTTCGCACTCTCCCCCGCGCCCGTCGTCTGGATCGCGGCCTACTCCTTGCGGCCCTCGTCGGTTCCGAACTTGGTCAGGCGGCAGTGGAACTCCTTGCACAAGGCCTTCTCGTTACGAAACCATGATGTAACCCGCGCTTTCGGGCCGACGCCGCCCCAGCTCCGGCCGACGGCGCGTCTGCTTGGCTCGCCCCGCTGCTCGACGGCGGTCGCGCAGGCGCTGACGTCGCAGCTGTCGGGGCGGTTGGCGAGGGGGCCTTCGAAGCCAACACACACTCCTGCTTCTACGTTCTTGGCCTGCACCAACCTAGACACATCCGCGCCCCTGATGCCCTGGAGCGCTAACGAGGTCTGTATCTTCCTGGGCATATGTTGCGACAAAACGCACGATGATGCGCAATGGCTCGAGCCAAAACAGTAATGTATATATGATTCAGTGCTTTTTCTCCGGAATGGAATTGGCGCGTGCAACGGATGCTCGTGAACCCAATCAGATGCATGTCATTGTGGAATAATTCGCAAGTGTTGGTGTTGTGGTTTTTTATCTAACATGTTCCGATGTATCCCTCGGGCCGTTCGGTCGCGCGCGACCGATTCCCACGCCTCGCGCAGCCTGCGAGATCCCTCAGCCATTGAAGTTATCGGGGCGATCGCGGACGAAGCGCTTCGCGACCTCGACGCTCTTGATGGGCCGTTCTAGATCTTCAAGGGGACCTCCGCCCTGATGACCTTGTACTCTTCGTGCTGGTTCTGGGTGAGGCCCACGATATATTGCTTCGAAGCTGGCGTGATGTAGCACTCGGGCGGCCGCTTGCACGTCCCCTTCCTGTTATTGGTGTTGATCGGCAAATCGATGGCGTCGCCCGTCAGCTCCGCCTCCGCCGCAGTTGCTGGTTTCGGCTCTTGCGCGTCAGCAGCGGCTGGAACAGCAGCGGACGGCCTCCTCTTCGCAGCGGCGGGCCTCCTCATCGCTGGAGCAGATGTTCGCAGATTGTGGCGGCGCGATTCTGGGTGGGCCTCGCGCCGCTGCTTTCGCTGCCCGCCAAGACTCGGCTCAGGGATACGGTCGAGATTGCGACGGTCACCGTCGTCGACAAGGACCACCTCTTCTTTAGCCAGGCACGCAGGGCGCCGACACTTCATGCCCATGCACTGCACCTCCACGTCGATGTCGTCCACGTCCTCGGCCAGCATCGGGTCCTGGCCCTCGACTTCGGCGGCCTCAGGATCGTCGTTTTCTTCGTCTCCGTCAGAGGCCCTGGAAGAAGCCACCGTCGGCTGTGCGGGGGACCCGCCGTCGCCTGCCCAAGCGAGAATCAGCTCGGCGATCTCGCTGAGATGCGGTTTCACGGCCGCGTGCCTAGATGAGGCGATCGACAGGCAGTGCTCAGCCATGGCGCGCCACGCGTCAGCAGCGAGATCTAACGTCTTCGGGAGCTGCTTCCCTGCCACTGTGAAGAGCTGGTGGTCTTAGTGAAGTTTGGCCAGCGTGCTCTTCATGTCCACCTGCGAGGGGTATCCATCCGGAGCCAGAAGCATAATTTCGACGAGCACCTTCCCATGCTTTTCGGGAGACTCTCGTACTGCTGCTTGCGAGCGGCTCGATGGGTAGTCCGTGCCGTCCCAAGAGAAGCCTGGATCTGTAAGCTCAGCGAGAGGCTTGAGTTTACTGGCCAACTCAAGGGCATCGACACGCATGCAGCGCGAGCGGGGCTTGCGCTGCGCCTGGCTGGACATACCTAGCAGCCCTGGGACTTTGAGCAAAACTGGCTTAACAAGAGGATGAGTCATTCCCGAAGCAGGCGGCACGCCCCTACTCACCACTGCAATGATGTCGGTGACTGGACGCAGCAGCAATGTCGGCGACCAGAAAGCGACTGGTGCCCTTTTCAGTCTGCGAGAGGACTGCAAAAAGGCACCGGGACACCAATGCCCTTTCTGTTCTGCCACCCGGCCCCAAAAGGGCACCAGACACGCGCAGGGAAGGAGAAGAGGATGAGGATGGAGGATCAGCTTCTACATGCACAAAATGAGGCTTTCGCAACTTCAATTACGAAGCGTGGGAGGGGGTATCAACGAGAGCGCGATATAGCCAGGGCATTGTTGTTGGGCTGCAAAGGGGGCCTTGCATTGGGGCGACTGTACATGCGATGCAGTGCCGCATCACGCTTACATTCGGCCTAGCACGACCTCCCCCCCACACAGTTGCGGATCAGAATGCAGGGGATGGACTGAATGGTGTGACCCGCCCACAGTGTTCAGTGTCGGCGCATTTTCGATTGCGAGAGACAGGCATATCGTAACATACCCCACGAAGCACAGGTGGCTCGAGAATTTGAGCCACCTCGAAACATGACAACAATAAAACGAGACGCCCTTCCCATATGTATCCTCTCCGCCCTTCGTTTCACCGCTCTCATTCTCCCATTCCTCCAAGCCTCTTCATCTTCCATCGCATTGCCAATCGCGGCGCGAGATCCCCGACTGGGTTCTTAAGGAGGCTGCGCGCCGATTCTGTGACACTGAATGTATCCATGTTCCTTTCCCCTCCCTCCTACTCTTCCTCCTGCGCCATTGGATCTTGCGACAACTATGATCAGCAGGTTCCTGCCAATGCAAGACAAACGCCACATGCATTGATAACCGATCTGATTTAATTCGGATCACGAAATTTTGCATGGGATGCTTCTTTTCATGCACATACTTTCCGTGCGTGTTTTAATGTTGGTTCGAACGTGCATATATCATATCATTATCTAGACATTACCATGTTGGAGATTTTTGCGTGAACTTCAGAACTTTGGGGAAATAAATCTTGGGAGCTCATCGCGCCCATTTAAAATTATAGCTCGTTCCGCCTGTTGGGTTGGAGGCCTCGAGAACGGCCCCTTTAAAGCATTTTAGGGGCTCCTGGGTGCTTTATGGGCCCTCTGCTCCATGACCCCACTGATTCCTTTCAAGTATTCCGCTAGGAAATACCCCGCCCCCCCCACCTCTCGGGTCGGGCGAAAGGGGGGGATAGCAAAAGGGGGGTTTGAGAATCAGCTCACGTAGCTGATTTTCCTGGCGCCTCCCGGCGCCGGAGGCGGCCACGTATCGAGGAATGGGCCCCTCGGTGAGGCCAAAACCAGCTGCATGCAGCAAATTTCGTAACACCCCCTTTCCCAATCCCCCCCCTTCGCCCGCCCCCCCCCCACCTCGGCAGGGTCGATTTCGACCAGACAGATCCGCTTCGATCTCGACTTCTGGGCGCTGCTGGGGTCCAGCGCGGGCCTCCGAGGCCCCCCCCACAAAAAGGGCGCCCTGAGAGGCCTCTGGGAGCATCGGAGGCCGCCCCCCTCCCTGGACCCCATCCAGGGCCAAGGGCCCAGGGAGACCCCAAGGAGGAGGCACAAATGTATGGATTCCGGACACATGTTTCCACATGTCTTGTGTTCTCGTCTTCCCCTCTGTTCCCATATTTTCCCGGAATCGCAGGCTCGGATCTCCGTTTCCGTCCTGGGCCCCGTATCGGTGCACTCGCCACGCGGCGGCTTGGCCAAACGGTCCACGATTTGCCGACCCTTGGCCCAGGGTCGGCTTGGCCGGGAGCGGCGTGCAGGCGCACGATTCGGCTCTCGGGCCCTCACCGCGCGCGCGATGGGAGGAGGAGGGAGCGAGGGAGAAGGGCGGAGCGGAAGGCGGAAGAGAGATGATGGGGGAGAAGAGAAGGACGAGAGGAGAAAGTGGAGGAGGGAAGGATGGGAAGGAGGGAGGAGGAGAGGAGGAGGAGGAGGAGGAGGAGGAGAGGAGAAGGAGAAGGAGAGGAGGAGGAGGAGAGGAGGAGGAGGAGGAGGAGAGGAGGAAGGGGAGGGGGCATGGAGGAGGAGGAGAGGAGAGGGAGGAGGAGAGGAGGAGAGGAGGAGGAGAGGAGAAGGAGGAGGGAGGAGGGGAAGGAGGAGGAAGAGGAGGAGAGAGGGGGGGCATGGAGGAGGGAGGAGGAGGAAGAGGAGGAGGAGGAGAAGGAGGAGGGAGGAGGCATGGAGGACGGAGAGGAGGACGAGGACGAGGAGGAGGAAGAGAATGAGAGAAGAGGAGGAGGAGGAGGAGGAGGAGGACGAGGAGGAGGGAGGAGTCATGGAGGACGGAGAGGAGAAGGACGAGGAGGAGGAAGAGGAGGAGGAAGAGGAGGATGAGAAGGGGAACCTGGTCGATGCTGTCGAAGTGGTTCTTCATGCACTTGATCGCGACATGCTTGCCCGACTTAATCGACTGGGCCTCGGCAGACGGGGAGATAAGGAGACTGAGGAGGAGACTGAGGAGGAGGAGGAGAAGGAGGAGGAGGAGGAGGAGAAGGAGGAGAAAGAGGAGGAGGAGGAGGAGAAAGAGGAGGAGGAGAGGCGAAAGAGGAGCAGGAGCAGAGGGAGGAGCAGGATCGATCGATCGATCTGTCGGGCCAAGTTCGGGGCTGCTTCTTTGCGTCGCTTCGAACGGCATAGTGGCGTACTGTATTGCAGATGTAAGGAGAAAGTCGATTCTGGGGCAAATCAATTCTAGTCGATCTCCTCCTCGAAGAGAGTGAGAGAGAGAGAAGGAAGGAAGAAAGGAGGGAGGAGGAGCAGGAGAAAGATCGAGATTCGAACATACCTGCGATCGGGGGCAATGCTTCGACATCTCAGGACCTCATGGACCTACGGGCCTGCGCGTGTGCGGGTTCATCGAACCATCATCCGGGCATTCGTACCATTCCCCCCTCCTTCTCCTTTGCCCTCACCCTCCACTTGCTCACCCTTGCAGGATTATGCCGGATTGACATCCAGGGCCGATGCTTCATGCAGCTCCCAGGATTTGCTCAAGTAAGACACGCTCGAGAGATTGGGGATCGATGTGAGGTCCGCAGTTTATTTTGAACCCACTTCTGGACGTGAGGTACAAAGTTACGATCTGACGAAGACATAAACTAGTTTTTCGGAACCTCTAGTGCCCCCTGCAAAGGTGTCCAGGAGCCGCTGGAAGCTCCATGGACACACCGAAGGCACACGGGCGCCACCATGAAATTCCAGGACTCTGGAGGGCCCCCCCAGACCTCCGGAGCCACGAGACAGTCGTGACGACGGATTTTTCCACGTCTTCAACACCCCAGGCCCTCTCTGGGCCCTGGGACGAAACTGCCCAAGATGAAAACCGGTCCCGGGCACGGGGCCGAAAGGCGCGGGGCCCACGTCACGACGCAAGCATTACGTCGGATGCCTGTGCCCTGAGGCCCTCACGGGTGCCTGTGCAGGCCCCACTGGAGCTTCTTGGAGGCCTGCGAAAACCCGATGGCTTCCCCCAAACCTCACTTGAAGGCTCTACGGAGGGGCTACCTGGAGCCGCGGAAGGCTATGTGCAAGCTCCGTGGAAGCCACCCCGAAGCCTGCTTGAGGCCCTGGCGGCCTCTAGAGGCTCCCTCGAAACTCTCGGACGTGCTGGGAGCCTTGAGCCCCCGCGGGGGCGGGAGGGCGGGCAGGGGATAGTTACATCGAGGGGAGAGCAGACTCGCCATCGCTCGGACGTCCATTCCCCGTGCATTTTTCGGCTTCGCGCGTGCATTTCGTTCGCAAGATTACCCAATATGCTCCTCGATGGTCCTCGCCGAGAAAAAATGCGGACGTCAGAACGATGCCCAGGAGAGGGAGACGGAGGGAGTGGGATGCGCCGAACAGGGCCGGGACGGGGAGCACGCATGGGAGCATGTAGGCGGGCAAGAGGGGAGGCGGAGGGGGAGAGATGGAGACGGGAGGGAGTGCGGGGAGGGAGGAGGAGGACGGGCAGGCGGGACGGGGAGGTGAAGCGGGGGGGGTTGGGAGGCCGACGGGAGGAGAGGGTGGCCGGGAAGGGAGGAGAGGGAACCTTCCCCCCTCGCGTCTCCCTCTCCTCCTCGTCCTGAAGGTATATCGGATCCTAGACCCCAAGGCTTCCCCCAGAACTGGCTCTTCCGCCCAGGGAGGGCCCGGGAAGGACCCCGAGAGGCCCGAAGCAGAAGCAGCGACAAGGCTCGGCGAGCACCCCTCTCCCTCGGGAGGGAACCGCCTCTTCAGGCCGGCCCTCCCCCCGCCCTGCCCCCGCACCCCGCACCTTCAGCACCTCCGAGAATGTGCCCTCGCCCTTCTTGGAGATGAGCCTGTACTTGTGCATGGCTGCAGCTCCCGGACATATCAGTGCACCTGGGCGCTGCGCTAGGTGCGGGCGCGCGCGCGGGCGGCGGCGGCGGCCCTGCGGTGGGCGGCGGGGGGCCCGGGCCTCACCCTCCCCGAGAAGTGCTCAGCGTATGAGAAGCCTCCCTGACTGCAGGCGAGAGGTCTCGCGAATAGCCCCCCTCGGAGACACGCAAGTGCCTCCTACGCACATCCGCGCCACAAGGGAGCCTCGAAACGCCCCGAAGAAAGGTTTCACGCTGCTTCCGGCAGTGCCGTGACTCTCGCCCTCAGCCTCCCCCTCGCCCTTCCCCGCTCCTTGTCCTCGTCCTCCTCCTGCCAGACAGCGCAGGAGAGGGAGGGAGGGAGAGAGACCCATCGCCGAGCTGTATCCCTATCCCTGAGATCGACAGATCCAAGGCGATGATAATCTTAGGGATGTGCCTTCAGAAACGAAGGGAATCCATCAGATCGACACCGGGATAAGGAAATGCCGATCATAGGGAGACGGATCTGTCTGCAGGGTGGTGTATACCTCTATACACATATAGAGAAATAGTCAAATATGAGAGAGAGAGAGAGAGAGAGAGTGGCTGTAGATAGACTGAAAGAGGGCGAAAGAGGCAGGGAAGAGATATCGTGGCCTGAGAAAGAAAGAGAAAGAGAGAGATGAACAACAAAAACGAGAGACAGACAGAGAAGAGGCAGAGACAGAGAGTCCGACAGACCGAAAGAAAGAGAGAGAGAGAGACAGGTAGAGCGACAGGCTTCGTCATCATCAACCACCACCACCTCCACCATCGTCATCGCCATCATCATCATAAGCAGCATCATCACCAACCCCGTCGTCATCGTCATCATCATCAACACCATCACAACCATCAGCATCATCGGCATCGTCATCCTCATCATCCTCATCGTAATTGTCATCTTCATCATTGCCATCACGTTTCTCATCATCAGCAATCAGTATCCTCATGATCATCCTCCTCGTCTTCCTCGTTCTCCTCCTCATTCTCCTCCTCATCATCATCACCATCACTATCACCATCATCACCATCATCACCATCATCAGCATCATCATCAGCTTCATCATCACCACCATCATCATCATCACCACCATCACCATCACCACCACCACCACCATCATCATCATCACCACCATCACCATCACCATCACGATCAACACCACCATCATCATCATCATCATCATCATCATCATCATCATCATCACAGTCTCCATCACCATCACCATCACCATCATCACCGTCATCACCATCACCATCATCACCATCGCCATCCTCCTCATCCTCATCATCATGAGCATCATCATCACAATCAGCATCGTCCTCATCGGCCACGTTGTCATCCTCATCCCCATCGTCAACATCGTCATCCTCCGCTATTTCCGCTATTTGCCGCGCCATGAAGGGTTTGATTCCTGAAGCGCAACACGGCTCGTCATCCTCCTCGTCGTCCTCCTCGTCGCCGTCCTCATCCTCAACACCAGCAGCACGGCGGCCGGGAAGCCTGGCGCATCCCGGGGGGGCAGACTGCCGGCCCCTCCGCCGCGGAGGGGCCCGCGGGCGGGCGGGCCGTGCGCCCGGGCCAGGAGCCTCCGGCGGGGCTCACCCGGCGGAGGGCCCGCTCGAGCCGCCGCCGCCGACGGCGCGGGGGGGGAGGAGGGGATGGGGAGGGGGGAGGGAGGGGGAAGGGGGCGCATCTCCTTGGATGGCCGTGTGGGCGCTTTCAATCGAGGCTGGCCAGGGAGAGTCGCCAAGGATGGGCAAGGGGCAAGTATGCAAGGGTAGCCTTGGTAGGTTGCTACTCCGCGCTATGCGACTTGATTGCTGCAGGAGGAGGAGGGAAAGAGGAAGGGAAAGAGGAAGGGGAGGAGGAGGAGGAGGAGGAGGAGGAGGAGGGAGGTTGGAGCAAGAAGCGAGCGGCCCGACCAAACGGGCGCGCGGAGGCATGATGATGCCAACCCTTTACGCGCCAAGTTATCCGATGAGGAGGGATCGGGTGTGGGGCTCCCAACTGGAGTTGGCACCTGATGTAGCTTTCCAGAACATGGTTATGCATCCCTGGCCACATCTTCGCATGCCCCTGAGAAAGCTGCGAGTGCTGAACGTAAGATCGTGCACCTTGGCGTGCGGCGGGACGATGAAACAAAAAAGCTCTCAAGCTGCGTTTGCGCAAGTTGCTCCGCCTGGCTCCAGGACGCGTGCGTCTAGTGACTTGTAGGTCCGGGCATTGGTGGCTATGACTCGCTCGACAGATTCACGCAAGAAATAGATGCATGCATGCATGCACACCCGCAAGCAACTCATGCAACGTACGTAGCACGATTGGGGAGGCGTGCGCGGGGTGGGCCGCGGGTGAGTCGCGGGGTGGGTCGCTGGCGGGCCGCGGACGATGACGACGACAACGCGACGGCAACAACAACAACAACAACAACACCATAAACATAAACATAAACAACAACAACAACAACAACAACAACAACAACAACAACATAAACAACAACAATAACAAGCATTAATCACTGGCGTTCGTTCTTACCTGCTCTTGTGCCATTCAACACGTATATCACAAAGCCTCGATACCCGCCCTCTTCGCCTTTGAACGTACCCCCTGAGGGGTACATAGATTTCTTACCTGCAATCTGTATGTCATGCAGCCCCTGAGGCGGGGGAAGAGAGGACGAACGGAAGGAAGGGACAAGGGGCAGGCGGGTTGCTAAAGCGTGCGTCCTGCATGGATCGCGAGGAAGTCTCGAGCGATATCTCGATTCCCAAGTAAATCGTGGGAAAGGCCAAAGCGAAAGCGTGATTCCTGAGTGCCGAGGGCGCGGCGTCTGAATAAATTGCGAGGAGGAAATCCCACGCGAGAGCACAATTCCTGCATTCATTGCGAAGACGTCCCGCGCGAGATTGCGATTTTGGGAAACAATTGTGAGGAAGTAACCCCATGCCCACGATAATAATGTACCCCCCCCTTAAGTCGCTAGAGTTTTTTATCGTCGACCAATAAGAGTTTGGTCGGGGGCGCGGGAACGCGGAGGCCGAACTTCATTATCACGGGAAAAGTTCGCCATCGAGGTTACTTCCTTCCTATGTTGGGATAACAACATCAAGCGAAGCGAACACGTTGTTTCAGGATGTCTCAAGCGAAACCAATGTCCTTCTGTCTCTTTGTAGTTCTTTCTGTCTCTCTTTCTTTCTTTCTCTGTCTCTCTCTCTCTCTCTGTCTCTCTATCTCTTTCTCCTCCTCCCTCTGGCGCCCTGAACTTGTTTATCGCTGGGGTTGATTATCCTTGGAAAACGAGGCACGTGAGCTACCCTACACGAGCAGATGGAAATTTTAATCTTCATCAAGCGTCTACAAATTAAATATAATAAGTTTTAAACTTTGGATTTTTGCTATCTCCTTCTCCTCACCTCCTCTTGCTCTTTCTCCTCCTCCTCCCTCAAGGATGTCTCAAGCGAAATAAGCAATAATTTGAAGATGTCTCAAGCGAAACAGACAAACATTTCGAGGATGTCTCAAGCGAAACGAGCAATTCGTTGAGGATGTCTCAACCGAGACAATCCTCAAGATATCTTTGCCTTTTTCCTCTTGATATCTCTTTATGCTGGCTCTGGCGGGCAACTTTTATTATCTCCCCGAAAACCCCGAACTTTACTATCCCTGGGGGTTTATTCTCCGAGGTTTAGGGTTATAAGGCGGGAGCCGTTGTTGTTGTTGTTGTCGTTGTTGTTGTTGTTGTTGTTGTTGTTCTAGTTCGGGGCCCAACAGCGCAATTTGGTGACGGGCGCTTGGGGGCTGTCTGGGGCCGCTTGGGACTCTCGCGGGGCCGTTTGGCCGCCCTCCTGATCGCTTTGGGCCTCTGGGCGAGCCCGGGCAGGAGTGTCCAGGGAGCCAAGAAGGCCAGGGGGGGCCCTCTGCGGGGGCGTCCAGGGGGTCTCTTCGACCAGGTATTCGGGGGACCCAATCTTGCTGAGGGGAGGCCAGATTGTCACACACCTCCCAGGTAACAACATGTACGAGTAGGAGCACGACTTCACATTTATGTGTAAACGTGTGTATGTATAATACACATGCAGGTGCATGCCAACATGTATGTGGGTAAAGAGGTGTTGGTGTTTTGAGCTCTGAACGCATGGAGATGTGTATGTATGAAATATGGATGCGTTGACTCTGTGCGTGTGGGAGTAGGCATGTCTGGATGCATGCAGACACAAGGTTGTGGATATCTGGGGGTATGGAGGCATGCACACCAGCGTACACGCACGTAGAAGTGTGGGGCGAGGGCAACAAATCATCCAGGGTGTCTGGTCGGGCGCCCTCGTCCCTCCCCCCCCCAGGATGGGATGGGTGCTGGGCCCCAAGATTCCTTCGACCCCCCCGCCACCCCCAGGTAGGATTGTAGGGGGGGTGTGACGACGACGACGACGGCGACGATAACGACGACGACGACGATGACAACGGCGGCGGCGGTGACGACGACGACGACGATGACAACGGCGGCGACGGCGGCGGCGGCTGGACGAAGTTGTGGGCGAATCGGCAGATCTCGAGCACCAGAATCGCGGCTGGCGAGACGTTCGAGCGGACGAGCGGACCAGTCCCCACAAGTTTGGCCTTTCCGAATACATCAGACCAAACACCTCGCACAGAAGCGTCGAACCCACCGTGCTCTTCCTCCACCGTAGCTGTCCCTTATGATTATTGAAACGCCGTCTCCCCCCTGCTCCTACGGTCAACGCTTATAACAAGGATGCACGATCAGGATGCAAGAGCCTTGGATGGCCATGTCGACACTTGTCGAGCGGGGCGCGGCCAGCGAATGTGGCCAAGGATGGGCCGAAAGGAAAGGATGCAGGGGCAACCTTGGGAAAATCTCTCACCCTTACTGCGTACCCGTGTTGTCTGAATTTGAGCACTTGCAACGCCAGCCCCCTGCCAAACACATTGTTTTCGAGGTGCGCTCCGCCCAGA